TATTTCACAACCTAAAATTTAAAATTGGCAACAGAAGCTCAGGATACATTGCAGAGTCTTTGCATCGATGATTAAGATCAATATTCCAATAAAAAATTAGCTGCATTGATAAAAGTGAAGTTCCTCTTATTTTCAAACCTTAACTCCATTTATCAGGGCAAAATTCACAAACTCTTATCTGATTTTCACTGAACTCAGTGTAGTGCACTATAGAAACCTAACATGTTTGTTGATGGTTTATAGGCTGAAAATGATCATTGATCACAGCCAATCAAAGAAAAAATTGGCTTTTCCAGTTTCTGAGCAGTTGATTGGCCTGAAACCTGAACTGTCAATTTTGACAAAATATCAGATTCAATTCCAACCATACAGTAATTAAAGGATAACTTCATTATCACTTGTATCAGAGATTTGGCACCAGCACAATTTGCAACGTGACTCAAAAACCATAATCAGGGTCACACAGCTTGGGTCACCTGCCTTTAATGTACTGCATATTATGGTCCAAAGCAGAAACCCTGACAAAGAAAAACAACTCTTTCTTGAAATCAAACCATACAAATTGGTCATTCATATCCATTTTTAAGAGTAAAATTTCCTGAAAGCTTGAAATGAAGCCTTAGAATAAAGTATGGTGATATTTGTGGCTCTCAGAGGATTAATGAAGTGTCCAATAATCCCCTATGTGCTTATTTATAAGCAGTTACATTAATAAAATGGTAATTTCCTCCATAAAATGCTATCTTTAAAGATAAAGGCTTTCTCGCTGAGGAAAACTCACATTTATTCTGTGCTGATCTGGAAAAATGACTCCCATTATAAACCTCGCAGTGATGGAGTTTCAATCAGGCTCAGGCCTTTGTTTAGCTGGCTTCATGAGTTATTCTAATTACCTGGCTATCTCACCATTAGAGTAAAAATAGGCAGATAGAACAGATTGTAGGAGGGTGGGAAAACTAATACAGCCTGATGGCTAATTGAATTACACACCAAGTGGTCCACTGCATGCAATCATTGTACATTTCCCCTGAAAAGATGTGCCTGGTGACATTATTGTAGATAAGATGATAAATGCTAGAGAAAGGATAAGCATATCAAAAAAATTATACCTTGCATTCCCTGCAAGTCCTGGAAAGAAAGCGTTGACCCTCTGAAAACGTCTGTCCCATGTAGGTACACTTAGCTGCAGAGGATAGAAAATTATTAGATTAAAATGCTTTGTTGTTTTCTTCAAGATAAATAAAGTAGCTGCAAGAAATAAAAACCTTTTGGCTAACCAAGTACAAGCAATAAAGGAAAAGAAAGTTTCAAATGTAAAGGTCTGCATTTTTAAATGTAGCTGCAACATTTTTTTTTTTTTCCTTGCTGATGAGCTTAAGTGGAGGCGAAACGAAACAGCACATTAGGAACACAATAGATGAAGGTCTTATAGCATATCCCTCTGGTGATAAATCAGAAATAGTAAGTGAGCCACATGATGCGAAGTCCTGCTTTCCTCCTCTCCAGGGTGCTGGACCACAGCATGCTCTGTCACAGCTCAGGAGCACAGCTTCCTCGTTCTTCTGTGCCAGAGCTCTGATGTTCGCAGAGGAGCAAGAGGAGGAAGGAGGAGTGAGCGGAGGGACAGAGGGAGGCGAAGGAGGGCTGAAATTATTCAGGCGCTCTATTCTTCAGGGATTTCTTTCTTTTTTTATGCAGTGTATTAAGAAAGGCACAGCTGTCTGTGTGTCTGGGAGTCCATGCTAGAAATCTGTGTGCTTAAACCTTTGAAATATTGCTTATATATCAGCGTGTATTGAAGACAGCTGTGATCTTTGCTTCATGCTGATAGAACAACACTAGTTATGCAAGTTGTTAATCTAATTGAAACTACTTTGAAAATATACATTAGTGTGTCTAATTTCTCCATGCATTTGGCCTTTAAACCACAAAATCCACTAATTAGAAATAACACAATGACCTCATGCCTAATTGTGCGTGGTCCCAGTAGAGGAATGGGTTACGGTCGTCATGGTAGATGTGCTGTACTACCAATGTTAGCTGCAGATCGTTTTAGGCTTGTGAGTGGTGATGTGGATCAGACCTGTTTGTACAGCACAGACACTCAATTCAATTGAGATCTTGGGGAATTTGGAGGTCAAGTCAACACCTCCAGCTTGTTTTGCCTCTCAAAACATTCCTGAACCATGTTTGCTTTGTGACAGGGTGAATAATTCTGCTCAAAGAAGCTAAAAGAACCTTGATTGTTCTGCTCTGTACTACTGTGTCAAGCGATCAACAACTTGATCAGTTTTGATTGATCAAGTTGTCGAGCCATCTTTATGCGGTTCTTGACAAACTTGCTAAAATTCTTCCACTTATCCATTTTTCCTGCCGTGATGAGTTTTTTTTTTACATCACCTGTCTTTAGTCATAATGTTATGCCTCAGAATAGAATAGAATAGAATAGAATAGAATAGAATAGAATAGAATAGAATAGAGTCATTGTCATTATAACAATGAAACATTCTACAAATAAATTTGTGTGAAATTCACTAGATAAAAATGTCCAACTTAAAAACATACGATGAAAAATGACTTTTATTGCACTTTGAAAAAGGTTAACTTAAAACTGTACTAGATTTTCTTTAAATAACTTTAAAATAGACCATGTCAAATTGAACACTTAGCATTCAGAATGGTGATGACAGGTGAAAACTGTCTCTCTGTTAGTTCTAGTCTTTATAGATCTTCATAGATTTGTGGGAAATAAAAAAGAAACAGAATAGTGATCCAATAGGTTGACAAATCTGATATATTGACTATGAAATATACACATTTAGTTTAAAGTACTAACATGCAGCAACCTTTATACTTTAAGATAAAGAGCAGCACCACAGCCACTGTGCTACTGATAAGATATTTTTTTCTGAACTGATATCTAAACTACAAATTGAAACTGTGATAAGAATAACTTTGAAACACACAAATTCAATAAAGCCCTTAAGAAATGTTATTGTGACTTGTTGTCAGGTCTAATTAACAAACCAGTGAAGTGCTACAATCTGACGCTCTGCTAAAATACCCAACAATTATTACTGGTTTATTTAAGTAAACAAATTCTGGTGCTTTTAATTACAGCCCAATGTTCATTTCAGGGGGGTCACAGTCTGCGATTCGTTTTTAGATGCTGTGAAAGCAGTATCCATCTGCACACTGTGAAACATTATTTTGCAAAGTAACTACATAGATCTGCGATGGATATGCCTATATCTGACTTTCTGCATGCGGTGTATGTGCTAATACTTACGTCGGCACGTTTTACAGCAAGTCCCATCAACATGTACAGGCAGCATGTCATCTGAGCAATTTGCTGGAGGACAGAAGATCCTGCGACACTCCACCACACCGTTCTTTTGGATCATTATGAAAGAAAAAAAAAACAATTACAATTTCTGTTTCCAAATTAGTTAAATTAATCTGCTGTGTCTAGGGGGTCTTGACAAAGACACGTTTAAATGACTAAACCAACAACTTTTATTGTTCCCATTATATTATTTTATGTGACCTGCATCCCAACCAATCATACAGCTGCATGTTTACTCCGCCAATTAAAAATGTACCGCTTATTTTATGTGCACAGGTTTCATAAAAATGCAATGAATTTGGTTTTCCCCAAAAAATCTAAGTTTGTTTAATCCTTACAATTACATTCACTGCAGTAGAGAGACTGTGTTGGTTGTTGCAGTTTCCTGTCTTTGTTAACTCAAACTACACACAAGTAAATGGAACCACAATTAAATATGAGCTAAATCATCGAGTCTCATCAAAACACAGAAATAAACCTGTTAACATTGACTTAGTGACGGAATAAAGAGCGAGTTTACTAAAGTCTGAGTTGAATCAAAAAATGTCAGAAATACTAGATGGGATAAAATATACATCGCTGTCAAATTAAGTAACATACAACATTTTCATATGACAACTTTAATATAATGTTGGACTAAAACTTATTTGCATAAATTGGCTATGAATCAGAAAAATTCTGGTCTGGACGTTCTGGGATGTTTCTTTTAGATTCTCCACAGATTTGCAGTTGGATTCAAGATCACATAACAGCTTTAAATAGAAACTTTTCATATCTAAAGACATATGTCCTCTCCCAACAGCCTTTTGTCATTGAAAACTCCATGTTACATATATTTTAATTTTAACTATGTGGTAATTTGCTTTGCTAGTGCTGCTCAGAAACCTTCCATTAATGCATGATCTGACATGAACTGAAAAAAAAAAAACACTCCATCAAAAACAACACCGTCTCCTTTGCATTTATTCACAGAAAACATCCCTCGGTCTTTTTTTCAAACATTGCTTTCAGAACCAGCTTAGGCAAAAATGTAATCTCAACATTTCTTTTTTGGATGTGATTGAAAAAGTTGGTATTAGACACAAAATGTCAGAGTTGCACTTATAATGCCTAAGGCAAGTCTAAAACATATTTGTATAGAGTTATATTGAGCAAGTAGCACACTGGCAGTAGTTTCACTGCCTCTGCTGCAGCTATCAGTGCTACTGAAGCCTGTTCTATACCTCCTGATTACTGCTGATGTGTGGGTTTTTTTTCTGATTTCACCCCTCATCTTATATTCTTTGCCTGCATTCTGAAGTGTCTGGTATTTTTTGAGGCAATTATTTGCTTGGTGGAGGGAACCAGGGGTCCCCGATAGAAACATTTTTGTTTAAAACTGACAAAGTTCTGCTTTTCACACTTCTTAACTTATTCTTGAAGTTCAGCTGACTGGGAACCACAGTACGTTCTGTGAATAAAGCAACTCTTGTTAATGATGTGTTAAATGCTTTCATGCAAAGTGTGTTCCAGTTTGATCTATAGCCTCTACTGTTTTAAACTAAAACCCATCAGATTTCAGAATAAAAGAAACCACATTAATCACTGAGACCGCACCGTTCTTGAGTAGCCTGTTGATGTGAGGTAGTTATTCAAACCCTTAAGGACTGCATTAATTTCTGAGCCTGATATCTCTCTCTGCAAGCGCCTCTTCATTTCATGAGTCATCAGAAATGATTCTCCTAGGACGCAGCGGTTATCAGTTAATGGCATGTCCAGGGGAGGAAACCAGACTGACTAAACTCTTTACTGTGCTTGATGTGCTTTGATGCAGCAACTCTAAATCCTCAGGACCAAGAATGCCCTGATTAAACACACTGCAAGTCTAGCCCCTATGTTTGAATGCAGACAGCCAGGTAAGGAAGCCTATTAGAGAATGTTTGCTGTGTTAGAAGGTTGGCACAGAGTGAGAAGATTGGAAAAAAAAAAAATGCTAAGAAAACTTGGGGTTGCAATGACTTGCAATCTATTGTGATCTGCCATCAGTATGTGACATTGCATTGAAACGGCTCCAGTTGTCATGCTATCATATATATGGTTATTTATTTTTTATTCACTTTCTGCTGGTGGCTTTGCATTGCTCTGAAATCCTGCAAAGGCTTTAAAAAATGATGTGCTGCGAAGATAAAAAAAGAAGGATTGTGGATCAAACTCCTGAACATTACCTGCAGCAATCTTTACTGACAATAACTGGAGTCTTCACTAGAGACGCACCAATCAGGCGTTTCCACGGCAATAATGATTTCTGGTTTTCTATGGCATGTTTTTCTTTTCTTTTTCTTTTTAGCCAACTGTAATTTTTCAACAATTACCTTAATACAGGAAGACATTTAGCATGGTGGAGACGTTTTAACTCATGCCTGACAAGAACTGACTGAGGGGCAGTATTATGTAACATTGACTTTCTTTAAGCTTTACATCATGTTATTCTCTCATCAAAAACATACCTAGAGTGTTGCTTTGATTCTTTTATGTATATACGAGAAATACTTTAATCTCCATGGCAACCATTCAGCTGTGCAAAACGTCTGGTTGAACCTAGCTCTTCCTCGGAGCTGCACCTTACATAGCAGCCCTCCCCTGTCACTGCCCCACTCTGCTCCTTCAGACTAGCCAGCAACAATTAGCAAACACCTGGTGGAACTCAGCATCTGCTTAGCTCGTTATACAAGCTATTTCTTATTGCAATGTTAGTAAAAATGTTATTAAAGAGTTAATAGAGAAGCGATGTAGTGAAGGCAGAGTTTTTAAAAAGAGGGATCATATTTCAAGTCAAATTTCTTTTAAGATTTCTTTTAAGTCATATTTGATACGTATAGCATTATTACATCAACTGAAGGTAACGGTTACTTGACTGTGCTATAAAATGGCATTATGTGCTTGGAAAATACACAATACTGCCCCTTTGAAGCATACTGCAGTTTTTACTGTTTATTGGACAATATATAGTAATGAACAGGTTTCTTGGCTTTCTGACAGGGTAACACTTACCTTACAAGCACAGTTCCTGCAGTTTTCCGGCTCCACCCACAGCTCTTTGTCCCGGTACACCAGGTTGTTGGCGCTGCAGGTCCTCTCGCAGTGACACCCCTCCAGTTGGGTCAGTCTAGACTCTGCATAGTTCAGCTGCACACACAATCAAAAAAGCCATTTGAAATCTGAAAACAATAGTTGCTCGTCACCCGTCTCCGCCGCCCGTTCCTCATCTTCTGGTCAAGTTTTACGGAGAGCTTCTCCACCAAGAGTCACTCTTTTAAAGGGCAAATAAAATAAAAGGGGATCATCATTCAGCTCCAGCTCCTCACCTCAGGCAATGATCTGCTGAGATATGACAGAGAGGAATGACGGCTCCCACTCTGCCCTTCTCCTCCTATTTGTGCACCTTCATCAATTTATTTTTCTTCAATTTATTTCATACTCGCTCTCCACTATTGTCTCTCAGCAAACTAACTCAGAAACGTGGCAAAGCAGCACCTCTTGGATGGGGGCTGAAGGTGAGCTGCGCTTTAAAGCCACAGTTAAAAATGTATCCACATTTCAGCCAAAATTATGTAGCCACAAATATGTTAGCATAGCTGCTTGACGTTTAAAGAAAACATTTGGAGCTGCATTTGTCAGCAATGATTAATTCTGTGAATAAGGAATGTATCAATTATTTTCTAATCAAACAGCAAATTAACTTAAATAATATGATAACTGCCACACTGTGACACAATTTGCTTTTACAGTGATATTAATTATAGTTAACAGATGAGGTAGATGTAGCGCTAAGTAGGAATACGAGTTAAAATATGACAGTGTTAATTTTTACTCGTTTCTTACATAAACTCCAAATCTTTTAAATGAATAACCCCTTTCTATTATTAACAGGTAATAAATAATGAACTGCTGCTGCAAAAAAAAAAAAAAAAAAAGTGATACCTACACCATCAACTAAAAAACAAATCTGTTCTAATGAGTTCCTCAAACTTCCTCGGTTACTTCACTAAAGTTTTCACGCAGATGCTCATCAACTTAGGAAAATGTTGAAAACCAATCATAAAGGATGAAGGCTATATTAATCAACTGATTAGGAGAATCTTCAAATGGAAGAAAAAATCTTTTGTCACCATCTCTGCATGTGATTGACCAACAGAGGTCATTGTAAGTTACTTTACAAAATGAAGGAAGGGAATGTTTAACCCAAAATGGCACAAGACAAAAACACGACAGATTATGTTAAATTTGGAGGTCAAATGAATATGAAGTAAAGAGTATATATTGTAACTAAAAGTACTTTGCCCTGTTCACTTCAGCATCTGATTAGAATGCAAAAGTGCTTGGTTCTTGTCCGTCATTGTTCTGTTGATGAACCTCTGGACATCAAACGGATCAGAACAACTGATCCGTGTGTGTGTGAAACTGGGTGAATGAGGCTTTAGTGTGAAGTGCTTCATATTGTTAATATGATTAGAAAAGCACTAGAAAAAGTCTCCATTTACAACTCCAACATCCTGTATAAACATTTTATACAGGATATTAAACTGTGCCAGTTCAGATATCAGAATATCTGAACTGGCACAAAACTTAATATTTAGATTTTTCCGATTTGTATATTTTTATACAAATGAAACCTGATTTTGTGATTAACACTTACATTAAGTGTTTACTCATTAAACACTTCATGCATTTAAATATACGCACTTGCATGGTTTATGGTCCCAGACTGGCTGGTCAGAGTATATCAAAGTTTTCAACAGCAGCAAAAGACCACATCGCGGTTCACTCAGCTAAAAACAAGAAAACAGAGGCTACAATTTGAGCAATCTTTTACAATTCGTAGACTGGAAAAATGTCTGATCTGATCAGTTTCAACTTCAACTGCAACATATAGATGATTCAGTCAGAGTTAGTCATAAACAGATTAAAATCAAACATTCTGTCTTGTATCAGTGATTCAGGCTGACTGTGTTTTTTGTGCCTGTAGTAGCAAATGATTATTGCTTAAATAATCAGCATGCATTCTGTTGTTGGCCATGTCTTCCCTATATGACAACAGTGTGCCAAACCTCTTCTGGCTATTTGCAGCAGAAAAATGCACCATGTGACAAAGATGAAACAATCTCACACCGTCTTCCACAGTTACCAGAGCTCAATCTAACAGAGCACCTTTACAATATGGAGGAACGAGCAGAAACTTTCAGCTGGTAGCTTTTTATTTATTGTTTTACATGTTCAAAAAATAAAAAAGCTGGTGCACATAACAGATACACAGAAAGGTGATACACATTATTTACCTGAGGCAGTTCATCTTTCTATGCAGATATGCAGAAGTTCAACAGAAAAACTGGCACACCTGTTGTTGAACTGAAGAATTGCTGAACTAGAATCAAGTTAACATTTTGAACCTTTATTCATCTGAAATGTTTTGTGTGGGTTTGAAAGGAGTTCCTCTGAGGTGAGCTGTGAAGAGCTTTAAATCTTCTCCGTAAACGGAATGTGGGAAATTATTTTGGCTTTTGTAAAGCACAGACTTTATGATGTGGTTTAGGTCATTTCTAACCAGAAATGCGGCGCATAGTAAAAGGTTTAGAAGCACAAGTAGTATATAAATAACTGCCTATGTGGAAGGTGAGGCGATTTTTAAAGTCCCATTGATATTACCAGGCAGGTCCATCTCAGAAATTATAGGTCTACTCGAGAGAAACTGGTTACACCCCCACCCCTCTCCTCTCCTCGGCGACTCGGTCAGGCCTCAGCTTCAAAAGTGGAGGAGTTGGTGCGATGGAAGCTTCTAAGGAAAAATGAAAAACACTAGATGTCACTGAGGCATTTTGCGCTGTTTAAAGGGGTCCCTGGTGAAGAGCTGTGAGTGGTGGAGACGCGTCTCAACAGACCTCTAAACAAAATGTTTGAAATGCAGTTTCAAAGGCTTGGGGTCTGCCTCGAGGCACCGCCGAGGAATACCTCTCCTGTACAACCTGAGCATCAAATGGCACCATGATGCAGCACAAAGGACTCAGGGGCTAATAGGCATGTAGCTTCTATTGTCAATACACAAGGCAAGAAGACATGAAAGAATAAAACATTTTACTTTTTAAAATATCTTTATAAGGGAAGACAAGTGGAAAAATGCTAGAGAAAAAGTACTTAGTGTATTCATTTATTTTGTAATTTTTGCTTCTAAAATTCGAGGAGCCACTGAGATCTGCAGCAATTAGATGCATTTTATTTAAAACCAAGATAATTAATGATGCCGTATGTTAGATTGTCCAACAAATAATTTCAAAAATAATAATTTTGCATCATTTATTTTAATTCTGAGAATACTTCAAAGTGTTGGTGAAAATAATCACACACTTTAATCTTTGCAGAAACACTTTGATTATCACATTTGGACATCCATTACTTGTAGAGCAAACATATTTTCACTTCTCAAATTTGAAGTAGCATATTTTTGATTTAATGTGCAATAGATTTATAAATGTATGTGTAATCTATCTTTCTTCAAATTTCCAGTTTATGTCGTTTATCTGATTATCTTCCTCCTTGTTCCAGGTAGTCCAGACATTACCGTTCATCATTATGTCAATGGCAAATTTATTTATATAGCACTTTAATAACCTCTCTCTTCCAAACTTTTTTGCAGTTAAATTATTGCTAAAATATTTTAAAATATGTATAAATATTTATAAAATCTAATGTGATATCCTGCATATTTAAAAAAAAAGAAAGAACACGTTATGAATAGTATTAAATATCGAGCTAAAATCTGTGTTTCAGTTATATGTAATGTCATAATGAATATGTAACTCAGAATAAAGGATCCAGTCTGTTCATCATGTCCTCAGATTACACCGTTGCAGATCGTCAGAAGTTGAGTTAGTTAAAAACGCCAAAAATGATCCAACAATATTTCATTTAATGCTTTAAAGCTGTAAAATAAGTGTTTCCTCTGAAAATCTTTCCCTTTTCAGAATGTTTAAAGGAGCTACCAAAGTAGTCGGTCCCAGCTGCAAACTAAGCACCGGTTAAGACAAATTCTATCTAACTATTGACAATTGTCAAAATTTTGACAATTTATTTGGAATTGTCGGAAAAAAAATAACTTGACAGTAAAATACTTTGCTGTTCAGTGAGTTAACATTTCAAAAGTATCTGTCTTTGCTGCCCCACTCAGCTGTAATTAACGTCTGAGCTTTACAAACACAATGTCTCTCTAAAAGTAAAAAAAAAATACAATAAAATTATATGTTCAGACAGGCAAATATGACCCCATGTGCCATCTATGTTATTTAGCAATAAACATTTGATTACACATTCAAATAACATGCAAATTTGATCTTTTCAGTTGTAAACTGTACTGCAGGTTATGTTGAATGTCTCTGGAAGCAGAATTTAGAAAAACCTTCAGCAAACCTTGTTTAAAGTTTCAGCTGCAGCTCAGTGTATCTTGTAAAACTGTCAAAATAAATAAAGTAAATCTTGATGCTTGTCGAAAAGTAGATGGACTCAGCACTGCACCCAGTTTGAGTAGATTATCAAACTGGGTGCCCAGTGTTGAACACAAAGAGCATCGCAGAAATCTAATGCTTTTAAGAGCCTCTGTGCTAATTAAATAGGTGGGGGTTTAAATCGGAAAGCTTAATAGGAAATAACCAGGGGAATTTTTTTCACTACAAGTAAAAGCTCTGTGATTTCCGTACACGATTTGCTCCTTCCAATAAAAGACAGAAGTGTAATACATGCAAATTCTACCATGATTATCCACACACAGAGGGGCTTAGTGTCATCTCACCTCACCTTGACACTCGGCTTCACAAACTAAGGTGCCAGCAATTATTCGCTGCATGCTCCATCCTTCAATTTTCCACTGCATAGGCAGAGAGCCATTTACAGCAGGAGATGACTACATCCTCCCCGCTGTGGCTTATATGTGAAGTGAGGTCAGGTGGCAAAAGGTCGAGCTGTGCTCATGCGAAGGAGGAGGCACTAACACAGCAGTAGGGTAATGGTCACCATCTCAACCTTATTTACACCCAAAATGTTCCAGATCTCACTCACCCACTGGGACGTCCTTGCCTCATCCACTTCTACCTGGTATCACACACACACACAGCTCATAACACACTCATGTTGATGGCTTATGCTTATCCATTGAAATGGATCACTTTTTCCCAAATGGCTTTCCATAGCACATTCCCTGTTAGTCTCCTGCTGAGTTGATGCAGTCACCATTTTCTGAAAACTCTCTAAACCTTGTTTGTACCTTGTGTGTACAACTCAGACCAATCTAAGAAAGAAAGGCAAGAAAATGTTTTCAGATTTTATAATCCACATTCAGCTTTCATATCCCTCGCCGTCATCAGCTCTAGATTGTGACAGTCATCATCCCAACACATCTAAAGATTTTTAGATCTGACAGATTCTTTGTCTATTTCACTGTTTTGTCACTTGAAGGTTTCTTGCCTTGTTTTTGTACTCCATCAGTTAAACTTATTGAAACTTCATGCATTGACAGAGTACAATATTTAAAAATGTACAAAGAACATCACATTGCTTTACAAAACAATATTCAGAACAGATTTGTAAAATGAGAAATCAAATTAAAGTTAAGAGGAAGAGAGATTAAAAAAAAGGTAAATCAAAATAGTGATGATGGAAAGATGCATTTCAATTGAACTAGTCAGTTTAGCAAACAATCAGAATCTTTTCCTGCGTTTAGAACAAATTAGAAAATCATCATGATGAATTCATGCGGCATTGAATAAACTGATGTGTTTTTGTGTGTTTTAAATGTGTCTCTTATGAGGTGAATAGATATCTTTTATGTGAATGGGGCAGATATAAGGATATACTTCTTTCTGCTCCTTTTCATTCATGATTTCTTTTAGATGTATATGAACTATTCATATTTATTATGAAGTGGATGAAATACAAAAAAATGAATTAAAATTAATTTATTGATTTTAATCATCATTTTCTTTTGCTATCTGATTTGCCGCTGACAATCTCCTTATCACACAACTGTGAAACTTTTTTTATTACTAATATTCACACATAAATTCAAAGACCAGGCACCTAGATATGGTGCCGACATATCCACAATGTTAGGAAAATAGGTCTTTTAAAATGGGTGAAGTTGAGCAATAGTTCTGTCACACTTATACATTTCTGGTGAAAAGTACTATTATTACATTTCACCAAAAAGACTTTTCAAGTTCTAACTTCAGAGCCTTGAAAATGTATCCATACCTCACAAAATTATCCACATTCTGCAACAGCAAAACTTCAATATTGAATGGTTGTTTGTATTTATGCCCCTTTAATTGTATATTGCTATATAGGAACACAACACAACAAGCTGCCTTTACAATTTACTTAATTAGAAAGCCAACCTATTCTGTGAAGGCCTTACATGTTTATTAGAAATATCAGTAAACAACATCATGAAAACCAAGGAACATGCCAGACAGGTCAAAGTTCCATCCATTTACCGCAAACCTACAAAGACATGTTGATGGCAAACCAGGCGAGGAGAGTCTGGTCTCCCATCCAACTGAACATTTTAGATTTAAAATAATAATGTCCTTCAGCAAAGCCAGCAACAAATTTCAAAACTGAATTTCAAATCAAGATATGCTTTCATCTTCTGTCGTTTTTCACGTTCAGTGTTTTTCTTTTCGCCTGCAATTTTTAGTGAATCGGTTTGGTGGTGGATATTTGGTAGATGTCTCTCAGTCTATGGGAGGTTGTTCCAACTCATTACCTTCAGGGTCATCTTGGCGAGGAGCTCCTGCAGGTCCATGATGCCCTGCACCAGGCTCAGGAAATCGCTGCAGGTGGGACAGGCTCGATGGGCAAACAGGGCGAATCAAAAAGAGAAGAAAAAAAAAAGAGCAACAGAAAAAGCTTCAATAATGGTTTGATTCTGTCTGTGGTGGCCACAGTAAAAAAAATGAAGCTTGAAATGTTTGTGGTAAATCGTCTATGTTATGTTAGTGATGGGTGTTTGTATCAATATTGAAGCACCAGAGTCTGATTGCCTTATTGATCAGCGACAAAGAGTAACAAAGCAGTGACCCTGGATCTTAATCTGTTTGACAGGAAACACATTCAGAAACAAAGGAAGAAAAAAGCAGGCAACCAAATGAAAAACCAAACTGCTGGAGAAAAAAAAAAAAAAAAACTCATTCCTGTCTGAAGTACTTATAGTGAAAACAACACGCACAAAGGATCATTTTTCACACCCTTCTTGGTTTTTGACAATGCTGCTCAGATACTTACTGCGATTAAGATTTGGACACTGTGTGATGTAGCCATTTGGAGCAAAGATCAGCTTCACATCCTGAATAACTCCCTGAAAATACAATCATAAAGATGGATCATTAATTCGGCTAGCCTGAAGCGAGATTAAAGTACATGCTGTTTAAAACGTCTTACATTCTAACATACCTAGAAAACCTGAAAAAAAAGTACAATTTATAGTTTTAAGGTTACAATCTAATGCGCCGAGTCGGTCCAACTGAAATATATCCATTCAGAGTAAAATCCACCAAGAGAAAATGTAAAACCATTTACAGCGTTACAGTCAGACAGATGCAGGTTTCTGAATATCTCCAATTCATAAGATGCTGCAATGCAGCAAATGAAGTTCTGCTTGTTTTTTTGTTTTGTTTTGTTTTGTTTTAGTATGTAGGAATCAATCAGATATGCCTAATCTAAAAATTCAGCCTGGTGCAGAATTTTCAGAACAAGTTTTCTCCTCTACAGGTTCTTCAATTACATTAGTGTCTGCTGTACAGTAAAGCAGAAATCTAACAGAGTTACTGACAGAGTAAATTGAATTCTGAATGTCAGGATTTCCTCAAGCAGTTCATTCAAAAATGTTTTCTATAGCTTCTAAAAGTTCTTGAAATGAACAAAAGAGGACAATGTGTAGACTGTTAAGAAACAAACTTGGTTTCATCTCAACACTGAAGAGATTTTGTTGAGATTTTGTTCATTTTTTTCTGACATTGCAGTGAATTTGGGGTTAAAAAAAGAAACACCTTTAAACCTTATTACATTTCATCACATTGCAGCAACAAACATTATTGTGTTATATTGAAGTAGCGCATGACAGAGCAGTGGAAAAAATACACATTGTTAAGCAAAAAAATTAACAAAAACATATACAGTTTAATTTAGCTTTACCCTATTGTAAATAAAATGCTTTAACAGCCTGCCAATCACTCTGAAAGACAAGTCCTCTTCAGAAACTCGTGACGGGTAAAAAGAAGTGTAATGATGACCAGAAGTAAGAGTTTCAGACAACAGCAGCTTTTTTCTGTGGAAAACGATGGAAATGAAACACCAGGGTGCCCACACACTTCGAAATCCAATATCATTTCACTTCTCCTTCAAAGTAGCTGCTGATAACATGCTGGAGGGACATTAAAATTCACCACCTGAAGCACAATCTGCATCATCATGTCTGCATTATGCGTGTGTGAAATCCTATTTACAGTACAGTTCCCTGTCCTGGATGCCTTTCTTCACACAGGCACATAAAGAGAGGCAGCCTCGAGGTGAACAGGCTCACAGCACAGACTAACAACAAGCACACAAGAACGTACCTCGTCTTACACACACACACACGCACAGGCAATGTGAGCAGCAGATGGCGAGGACGAGATTGGCAGTGTCGATCAGAATGGAAATGAAGGTATAGATCGCAGAAGTCTGTTCCGCCAGTGTAATATAGGAGCCCTGACCACACATTTCTTTGAATGATCAGACGAGTATTTGAACTGAATACAAAAATACTTCCTTCCCTCTTACAAGCTCAATATCTCTCTCACACAGACCCAGCAGTAGTCAAAGAGCAGTACTTCTTGGAAATGATATGCATGCTCCCATACAGTTTTACTTTATATAAATAAATAAATAAAAAAAAGAAAATAGCTTCAAATTTTATGGTTCTAAAAACAGACTGAATTTGAGCTGATCTTGGGCATTTGGGCCAAACCATCACTATTCATGAAGAGATAGTACAGTGGTGGCCTAATATCACAGACCTATAATGTTATTTCCCTGTCAAAGCATACCTGAAGTGTTGTTTTAATGTGTTCATGCATGTTTGAGAAATCCTTTGATCTCATTGGCAACCATTCAGTCGTACAAAACCCCTGGTGAGACCCAGCGCCACCTTCGAGATGCAACTCAGTTTCCAAGATTCTGCATTACAGAGCCCTCCTCCCCCTAATCCGCTCCTTCAGACTAGCCAGCTGCCATTAGCAAACACCTGGTCAAAGTGTGCATCTGCTGAGCTCATTGTAGGGATTGAAGTCGACGTTTTGGAAAGAGCAGGATTTCTTAAAGAGACAGACGCCCAATTTCAAGGTGTTAAATTACGCAGTCACATTTTTAAGTGATATTTTATACACATCTTTTTTTTTTTTTACCAACTAAAGGCAACAGTAACTTGATTGTGTTGTAAAATGATACTATGTCACTAGAAAACGCATTTGGTTCAAGTTATATGAATTATATCATCCAGAGAGGCACAGCTGCAAGAAATATGCAGAGAGAATCCAAACAACCAACCTACAGCAGAGCCTTTCACCGATTTGTATCTTGAAAATTCGGGTCTTTCCAATCTCGCCTCCATCCCTACCAAAACAAGCTCAATTTCACAGACATTACTCTTGCATAGAAACACTGTATGATGAAATATTCATTAAAAAAATTATGAAGAGGTATTAGAAGATTATTTTTGTTTTTGTCACTCAAGACATCACACGTTGGTTGGCATCTTAGGGAATTTTCCAAAGGGCTCATAACCCAAATTTATTGAAACACTGGCAACTCACCCATCATTTTATCTAAAATAAAAGAAAAACAAACAAAAAACTGGCAGTAGTGACGTTGACGTCTCCAGGCTTCTGACCTAATAAATACCGACACTCTAAAGTCCTAAGAAGAGTAACTTAAGGAGAGTTAGGCTGTGTAAGAAAACAACTTTGTTTGGCTGAAGTTCTGCACATTGCAAATATTTCTTTAATAACTCTGGAAGAGGATCCTATGCACCATCACTGGTTGTCATTGTAGCATGCATAGAAAAACAGAAACCACAGTTTGGAAGACACATCACACATGTAGCAGCAACACATGGACCCTGTTTAAGCAAAACAAAAGCCAGAGTGCACAGCAGGCTGGCTCACAACCCAGCCACGGTCATCCTTCACACTCTTATGCAGAGGAAAATTTAGTTCTTGGGACATTCATGCCCATTGTGTGTTGGAAAGAAAAGTTGCATTTGCATATTTAGAGGATTCACTGAATTTAGGAAATGCAATTTCCTTAGAAATTAGAGGTTTGCTAAGCCGTTCACATTAAGTAGAAGCCAAAATTAGCATTTCTAAAGAATAGAAGTTTTACGCTGCTTATCTGATGAGGTAAACTCCTTCGAAGTTCAAAAGTGGTCAGTTCATTCCTGCTTTGATTCAAAAGTTGGAGAGAAAAGTTGGAGAGCTGAAGTAAACAAAGAAATTTGAATTAATTCAGTCACATTTTGAGATCAGATTTTTAAAAAGAGGAAAAAACATTTGGGAGAACAAATGATTAAAATCTGGGTCCAATGACTTTGTACGGTACAGGTGACGCTAAAAAAGAATACAATATTGTGTAAAATTGTGATATCTGTCACTCATTTCAGAAAGCAAAACTTATAAATAACAGATTCATTACAAACAGAATTTAATATTTCAAGTTTTTATTTCTTCTAATTTGATGATGCTGCTCCCTCAGGAATGAATCTGCTGTTGTCGTTGAAAGACAACATATTTGCGGAATGTTTCTTATAAAATACTCTTGCAACTGCAATCATGCAGGGGAAAGTGTTTTTAATTAAACTTATTCATGTTCCTACTTCAAGCAACCTCTTTGATGGATTTCTGTGAAAATTTGCATAATAAGAAGTCTGAAGTCTCGTGGGATATACATTGCACCAAAGAGAAAACAATTAAAATAGCTGACTAGTGTTCAAGAGTGAAGTGACATTAAGCAAAACACGCAAAAAGTCGTCAATTTACTAAATCTGAATGTAAAGCAATGAAAATATCAAGTTATAACGGAAAACTTTAAAAGGTTTTAAAGGTTCAGAGTCTTTCACTTGGTCAATTAACCCTTGACAGAGTTTGTTTCAACAATTTATACGTCTGCAAGGACAAATATGAGAAGAAATGCAACATCAAACCATATTTTCCATCATACAATGTTCACAAGCAAAAACCCTTTTCAAGATGAACACAATTATTTTCTTTTGTTTTGCAAAAGCAATCCGTTTATACTTTTTCCTAGAAGTTACAATCTGCCTTGCAAAAACAACCAAAATCTTCAGTGTATTTTGTTGTGATGAACCAACACAAGGCAGGAAATATTTGTCAATGGAAGGAAAATTTATACAAGATTTTAAATTAATTTTTACAAACAGATATCTAAAAAAGTGTGGTGTGCATTTTTAGCCAGATCTTTTTACTCCGACACTCTGAAATAAAATTCAGTGCAACCATTTACCTTCAGAAATTGACGATAGAATCAATATATTCTGTGTGTGACGCAGTCAGGAGCCCCTTTGCTTTGAGTTCTGGGTTCAAATGCAAACCCAAAGAGAATTTAGAGAGACTGGGGTCAGTTTCTGTAAATTGCCCTTAGACGTGCATGTGTGTGTGTGTGGCTGTTTGTCCAGTGGGTCTCTAATAGACTGATGAGTGCGATGCCCCCTTCCTCTCCCAATGACTGCTGGAGATAGGCGCCAGCCCCCCTACGACCCTGCACAGATAAACAGCTGTAGACAATGGATGGATGTTATCATTCATCACTGGTTTTACACTGTTCTGTGTTGGTCAGACACTAAAGGCTCAGGGAGTACAAATACTGTTTTGCAAGGCACAGCTGATCCAAATTGTTGAGGCACCAATGAAACTTAACTGATGTAAGAGAATGGATTTCGTCTTTCAGAGTTCAACATTTTTAACATCACTTCTTCATGGCTCAAACCACGGAGTTTGTTGTATGATGCTAATGATGAAAAGATTAAATTCAACTAATCTGAGCAAGTCTGCAAAGGAGAATGCACACCGCACAAAAACATTTAGCTGATCTCTCTATCATTGTCCATATAAGAATAATTATCATCCAGTGGTGCATGAAGCGGAGCATTTCACCAGAGAGCTGGCTTCAAACAAGCATGCTGCGTCCCTGAGGAGCAGCATGCTAGGCACAATGGATTTTAGATAAAGATAATTTATTACAGTTGCTCCCTCAAATGGAGAGTCTCCCAGGAGGAGAGAGAGGAAAAAGGAGCATCTTCAGCCTCTGCCAAGGCTCAGGATGTTTTATTTAAAGGCCTAGTTAGCTCATCTTATCATTATCCCACTCAAGTCCTGAATAGGATGGACTGCACCTGCTGCTTTATTTCAACTCCTATCAGCTGTGTTACATTCATAGCTCTTGGCTATTTTTCTCTTCCCTTCACCTCTTGCTTCTCAGCGGTCGCTAAGCCTTACACATCCCTCCTCATCTTTAACAGGTTAAACTGAAGTGTAATTTGCCACAGTGTGGAGAGAATAGTAAAGAGGTGCATACCTGATATCTGAGCAAGTACCTCCACACCTCCAATGTTTGTGGTTTCCTCAAAGTCTGATAAAAGGTCCGACTTGATTCAACAAGCTGGATGTTTTCTACTTTTGCCAGGTTCTTTTTCTTATTAAAAAAAACCAACTTGCCTTTCTCCATGCTTTCAAGTTTCCACTTGACTGTTTTAATACTCTCAATGAAGACAACGGAGAACACCTTGCAAAAACATCTTCTAACATGTAAAAACAAAACAAGTAAAACAGGAAGATGGAGAGCATTTTAAATCAGATGTCAAGCTGAGGGGAAAAAGTCCTACCGAAACTTCTGTTGGTATTCTGAGACTCTCCTACAAAACATTTATATTCAAGTTCAAAACTGTGCATTAAGCACAATGAAAACCTAACCAGTATGAATATAAACAGACATTTGGCACACCTGGTATAAAGGTGTGTAAGAAGATTTAAAATAATTTCATTGTCAAAGTAGTTTCTGCTTAAAAGGAGCAGGTGATCAAGATGCCTCCTCTGGACGTTTTCCAGGCGTTTCCCACTGGGAAGATACTGTCTGAAATAAGAAATGCCTTGGGAACTGGGATGAAATGGAGTGGGACCGGACTGCTTCCCAGTAACATCCTCCAGTTGTCTGGGGTTCCCTCCTGGAGCTGCTGCCCCTGTGACCCGAGCACCTGAAGCAAAACAGTGAAAGGTTTCTGCTTTTTTTTTATTCCTAATGATTGCTGCAAACCAATTCCCCCTTAGGATATGAATAAAACCTCAATTGAAATGAAGGATGGATTTTTTTATAGGCTTCTTAGGGACAAACTTAATCAACTTGTGCCTCAGGTTTTTAATAAAAAACTATATATATTCACAAAGACCAGCTGGGCCTCTTTAATAAAATAAAATATCTTTTTTTTAAATAAATGTGTTTTAAAGAGATTTGTAAAGAGAGAAAAAAAAAAAAAAAAAAAAAAAAAAAACCTCATCTTACTGCTATTTTTTTTTTTTTATCATTTAAATTGGTTTGTTTCCATTAGGCAAATTTATTTCAAAATGCCAAACTGCACAATAGAAATGCAGCTATTTACAATTAGGAAAAGAATTAAATCTGAAGTATGCATCAAAATCAACACCATAAACTTAGAGCATGTTACATAGCAGAGGCATGTAAAAAAAATTTGAAGGAAATAAACCTGCTGCTGTTTGTAAAGCTTGAATGTACAAAATTATGTTCTAAAAATAGCACAAAAAGCTATTTGCTTTGCAAAATCAGAACGGTGTGCTCTGCCACACTGAAGAATGACCCGAGTGGTTTTCCAGAGATGTATATCGATACTTTCAAAACAAGCTGCAGCTCGAAATGGCCCTTCTGATACACTAAACGGCAGCACTTTGATTTAGTGTGTTACCAGGGCAGCTGTCAGCCGAGATACAATGATACTAGAACGAACCTGAGGGGAAAATTTCCTCATTCTCTGTCACTTCACACGGGGCTCCGCTCTTCCACACCATCTGTCAACGTACCTGACATCACATTGAACTGCTGCGTGCACATGTACACCAGCACATGCTTGAGATGACTGAAGGCAAGGAAGTGGCTGATTGAAATGTTACATTTAAGACTGGTATGTTGCCGTTTTCTCAGTTTTGATGAAACGGCAGACAAAAAAAAAAAAAAAAAATCAAAAGGGGAGAGCTGGAAGATGGGCAGTGCTCCAGTGCAGCAACAATGGTTTTAAAGCATGGGGAGGAGAAATAATTTTCACCGCAGTAGGGCTTTGCAGTTAATCAATATGTTACAAAAGAAAAACAGAAAGCCCACTGATTGCATGGCAGGTGGGAGGGAGAGCTATGAATATCAAAACTGTGTGCATGTCCTGGTTCGGCTCTCCCATGTCCCCTGCCAGCTGCGAGTGCATGCAGAAGCCTGAGAAAATGAGTAACAATTAGAAACTGACAACATTGTTATGGCCTTGGGAATAAGCATTTCAAAGCTCACGCTGAGCTTTGTGCAGTTTCTCCGAGCCCCTGGCACTTCTGTTTCAGAATCTTATTCCTGCATTTCTTCCACACACACACACATACTCACACCCTTTTGCAAATTTGTTCAATTACACCAGGCGTTATTGAATGTGAAGCAAGTTCAGTTACAAGCAGAATGTAGGTGTGTGCGTGCAGCATCGGGGGAGGAAGCTTACCTTGAACAAGCCGTGCTTGTGGCTGTGTTGGCCTAGCCACACTCCACTGCCTAAGGTAAGCTCCATCTGAGGAGGGTCTATCACCCGCTCATAAATCCTGCCAACAACAAACCAGAGAAAAGGCTATGTTAATGACATGGGCTCAAACACATTTTTGTCTTTGCTTGATCTTGTTCTGACAGGAACACTGATACAGTGCAGCTGAGCACCAAGATGAATCCAACAGAATACGCCTATGTCTGCTCCTTCTACTCTCTTCTCTCTCCAAGCATGGCAGCCAGTCTCACCTCTCAGCTCCAACACCTATTATTATTATTATTATTTGGTCCTGAGTATATGGTTGATTAACTGCCCAACTCCCGACGAAAACAGGCTTTATTACACTAAACATTGCACCAATGTTTTCTGCACTAAGGTGAGTTTAATATTGAAGTTTGTCCTTCAGTTTCTTCCAACTCTGAGCCCATTCAGAAATAATATCAACTTTTTTTTAAGTATTCAGGAAACAAAATAAATTATTAATTGATGAAAGGACAGAAAAAGTGAGATTTTTGAGAGAATTTAAATGCATTTAAAGAGGAAAAAAAAAACATTTCAATGCATTTGACCATATTTAATCACAACTTGAGTAAAATGATTACCTAAGTAATCAAAAGATCATCAGTGCTGATGGCACCTTAAGTGAACAATTTCTCCTAATATATTAAGAAATTCAAAAGTGATAAAGTTGTAGAAACATCCAAACAAACCAACCAACTGTAAGACAGAGTTTCTTTGAAAGAACTATGACTAATCTTTCCCGAGGCCCTTTCTATTAATTTTAAAACCACTTTGTCTCATTATTGTATCCATCGCCATTTAATTATTCACACTTTGTCTTTTCACATTCTGCTCTGCTCTGTGTGTGGCAGATTGACTGATAAGAGCACAAAAACAGAGTGCAAAGAGGTCCAGATGGACAGCAGTTACCGGCTCTGCTGGAGACAAGTGGGAATGTTTGGTCGATCAAACCAATTGAGTCCAGCTCATTTTGCCATTTCATGCATTTGTAGTTTTGCCAATTGACTTTTACAAGTGCAAATATGAGCCTTTTGCCACAGGACATTTCACACTGACAATACATCAATTTGTATCCATCTCTGATGTGTTTGGGACCTGCTTCAACGACCGATGAGTTAAAGAAACCTTCTGTAAACTACTCACAACCAACTGTGAGCAATTGTGGTTTTGTGATTTAGATAAATTATGTGCTGTGACAGAAAACAAATGGTTGGGGGTCATAGTCTTTCACATTTCAAAAGGCCCAAGAAGGAATCAGAACAACAATTTGTGGGGAAAAAAGGTGCAACATAAAATTATTAACAGCTAAATTAAATTATACCATACCTTATGTCTATAATTCACCACACTACTTAACAGAGTGAAATAAGCTGGCATACAATGGATGATTAGAAAACAGAAACTAATGGTAATAAAAATTGACCCCTTTCTGCAGCAGAATAATTATATTTTAGATGTAATTTTTCTGCAATTTTTTTGTTGACATTAATATCAAAAGCTTTCACTGTTGAAATATAAAGATATTTCATACAACGTATGAGATAATAGTCTCTTTACATTATTCAACATTAAATATTCTTTATATACATTTGCTGAAACTGTAAATATGTTGTGACAAGTTTAGTATGAGACAGATAATGAAAAAAAAATAAATAAATCAAGCTCCTCTGCCTTCTCCCAGTGCTATCTGCAAACAGCCAATCAGAGCCAAGAGGAGGGTATCAGTGCTGTCAATCACCCTCTGTGTGGTGTTGCTTATACCCGTCTTTGAAGGCTCAGGCTGGTTAGCATGCCCATCAATAAAAGGATTAACAGTTTTTCTGAAATGGTTAGTTGTTTATCTGCCTTTAGCACATTTAGTAGAGAGTACATGACATTGATTGACAGCACCAAGACCCTCCTCCTGGCTCTGATTGGTTGTTTTTGGTCAGGAGTGGTGCATTTCGGTACAATAGCACAAAGGAAGGACATTGATCTTATCACATATTACACAACATGGTGATAGATGGTTAGAAACATTTTTTATGAAAGTTACATGCTGCATCTTTCATGATTAAGACGTCTTAAAGTACGTTAGGTTTGAAGGCTGATTTCTGACCAGCTACAAGATAACATTCCTTTTTAGAGTGGATGATAAAGTAGCCGTTGCTACCAGAAATAATGAAACTTTGCCTCTTTCCATATCAGTTCTTGTCCCTCTTGTGGGCCTTTATATTCCCCACATACACAATCTGAAACAACATTGTCCCTTATTCAATTAGGTCTTGGTTTGCTCAGTTTCAGAAAAAAGTTGACATCTAAATAGCCTGTGGTGTATGTGCATGGCACTAAGAGGAAATGACACTGCATGAAATCCAGCACTGCTGTGTGTAATTTTATCTCTGTTATTAGCTGCATTCGGTATTGTCCTTTTGCCATGAAAGCTGTGTCACAGCGAATTTAGAGACTTCCTGCTGCGGCTGATATACTTTGTAAGCATTAAATACCAAAAAGATGCAATGTAATAAAAGGGGAGGCTCTGTGTTTCCAAATGAGATTAGTACTGAAAATGTTCCTCTGTAGAGCAGATAAGTGATTCTTTTGAAATTAAAAAGAATAAGTCTATAAAATATAGCAGATTTAGTTTCTTGTTGCATATTAGGAAAAAAACAGTGCTGGGAAAAATATTCACCCAGTATGATTTTTTTTTTTTGGTGGAGCTGTCAAACATGCTTTAGATCACAAATTCACAAAAAGCAGACAAAGTTAATCTGAGTAAATACAAACTGTGGCCAGTTTTTGATGGAAAACAGCTTTTTAAGACAGCTGGAACAACAATGCTCCACATTTCTGACAAGTTGAATTTTCTGGAAGGTGTGTGTCCCAATCTATCTGCTGCAAAACTAACCAAGATAAAAAGGAGAAGAAGATTGATGATGATTTATGTAATTGCTATATGGTATAATTATAACCACAAATTCTGTAACTTACAAAAAAGATTAGAACCATTTGTTTTTTAATTTAAGATCAAGTTCATTTCAGTCAAACAGGAAACCAATGAGTCCACATCTAAATCGCTAAAAAGTAATAAAAAAAATGGTTTGAAGCTTGGACTTAACATATTTAAATCCTGGCTTAAATATGTTTTAAATACTGTGTCAGGATGTAATCCATGCTCAAAAACTCTTCAGGTTGACTGAATCCAAACAAATCTGCAAATAAGTGTCCGATTTCCTTTAAAGTAACATAAAAGAAACCTTTGATGGAAAATACTGTAAACAATTGATGAAACAGATGTTGGTGCCTAGGGTGTATAAGTATTGGCTGGTAGGACACTTTTTTCCACATAGGATCAGTATTAGTTAGTTTATACTTGATAATTAAACTAGTCTGATGATCAGAAACATTTAACCTTAAAGAAATGGAAGAAATCTGTAAATACTTTGAGAGGATTTCAAGAATATTTGTGCTCATTTACAATGACCACATGCTTTTTTTATCTAGAAAGTATTAAAGCAATTCTGTATCTGGAAAACAGGTGTCCATTAATCCCTGTTTTACTGTCAAAGATTGTAGGGAGGAAATTTCTAGCATTCATTAAAATCAACACAGTAGGAAGGAAATTACTAATCAATTAGAGCTTGTTGAACATGGAGTGGTTTGCAGTGAGTGTGTCACACAGTGAAGCCACTTTACCCACCCTCATAACTTCATCCATAACCAGTAAAATGGGTCAGTACTGCTCCACTTTCACACTGGTCTTCTATGCCTTTTTTTTAATGACTGTGTGTGAGAGAGGCAGAGACCCACATATCGATAAGAGAAGGCAGGTGCAGAACTACTCACCATCATTTATGTGACTGCAGAGGCTGGAACAAGGAGCAAAACCCCCAGCTGGGGGAAGCAGTGCCTTATGTCCAGGCTGAACTGTGGAAGCACCGTATGGTGGACTGTATAAATCCACTTAGTGCACTGTATTTATTTTGTTGACAGTCCATTTCAGAACAAGCTGTCAGACCGCCTCGTTTTGGACTGATTTACAGGCCGAGTAAAAGAGAAAAAAATGCATTTAATCTTGGACTGGTTGTATTTCAGCCCTTAAACTAACTTCCACAAGCTATCTATACGCCACAGGTGACAGCGAGTAAAAGAATATAAATAAACAGAAAGTCACAAACAACAAATTCAAATACAAGACTGCCACAAGCTCCAAAAGCTGGGATCAATTCATTTAGGTGTATGGCTGTCTTCATAACTTTCCTTTAAAAGAATAATCTTAAAGTCTTCACCATGTGCTACGCAAACATTTGTCGGCTATATTAAACATCAGGCCACTTTCAATTTTCACTTAGAGTTGAGTAGCAGACATTTTCTGTCATATTTCTGTCTTTCTTCCGAAAGATGAAGTTTTAAATCCAGATCCTTTTTTTTCCTCCTGCATGGTTCAAATGCTTCAGTGCTCCAACTTTATCCACGTAAACAAACAGTCCAAACTGAAACATGTAAGAAATAATAGTTATTACTGTGAGATGCAAAACCCTCCAAACGTGCTTCAATTTAAGCTGCTTTTGAGGGTACGGAGGTAATACTATGAACGTAAAACTTAAAAAAATAACCTAGAATAATTTTGAATGAGTGAATGAAACAGAAGACATATTTCTTTCTGAGATTTTCTTTCCAAGAAACTAAGATAATTTATGCATGAACAGGTTAATAATGCCAATGTATTGTAAGTATTATATACTCTAATTCCCATCACACAACTTTTCCTTTGTGGAAGAAAATTATGCTCACTAATCCTAATGCGGCCATTATAACAGCCCCGACTAGTTAACATCCATTTACAGAAACAGAATATCAATTTCAGCTCATTTACTGGTAAATGTGTCTAATTTTCTCAACAAACATGGCTAATCAGCATATTTGAGAATATAAGTGTTGCTCTTTCTGCAACGTTGACTTGTAGTCCATTCAGTTACAGCAGCAGAACTGATTCAGTGTCCAAAATTTAGATTTTCCAGTTCCATAAAATTTGCAATAATACCATGCATGTCTCAA